GAATATACAACTATGTACCGGGGGGCTTTGGGGAGAAAAAGGAAAAAAATAAAATCTTTAAAAAAAAAAAAAAAGACAGAAGGGGTTCTCACAGAGGTAGTGTCAGGGGAACCTCAGAATTCCCTTTGGCAGAGGGTTTTCTTTCCAGTAAAATTAGACCCTTCCTAACAATTTATTTTGTTTCCCAGGTGGCTGACCCTGTTGTTACATTTTGTGAGACGGTGGTGGAAACCTCCTCCCTCAAGTGCTTTGCTGAAACGCCCAATAAGAAGTAAGCTGGGGGTCATAGTGACCCTGGGACTGATATGGGACACTCTCCCCTCCCCCCAGCTCCACTCCAATCACAAGCTCTGTGAACATAGAGACCCCTGAGTCTTGGGATAGAAGTGCTTAGGACACTTGAGCTTTACCCCAGCCCTCTCGTCCCTGTGCCTTTGGACATGATGCTGTGGAATTCTTTGCCTCAGCTACTCCCAGGATGGGTTTTGGAATTGCCACTCCTCTCTATATAATATGCCTATCTTAAAATTTTGCCCTAGGGTCGAGCCTGGTGGTGTAGTGGTTAAGTTCGTGCCCTTTGCTTCAGTGGCCCAGGGTTCGGAGGTTCGGATCCCAGGTGCAGACCTAGCACCGCTTGTGAAGCCATGCTGTGGCAGGATCCCACATAAAATAGAGGAAGGTTGGCACAGATGTTAGCTCAGTGACAATCTTCCTCAAGCAAAAAGAGGAAGATTGGCAACAGATGTTAGCTCAGGGCCAATCTTCCTCAAATAAATAAATAAAATTTTTTTTTTGCCCTAACAGCAACCCTGCTGTTTTACTGTTTAATATGCTGATACCATTTAAAGCTTTAAAAATATATATACATATTTTTTTGCCCCAAACTTTACTTTCTTAAAGAGTGGTTCAGATGAAAGAAAACAGAAGATGAGCCCTTTTTGCTCCACTCTACCCCTGTAACTTTCACTGGTGTCACTGCCTAGCTGTTTTCTCTGTCACCCTTTTCTTAAAAGTGCCCCTTCTACTAGTCCTGTTGACCCTCCTCATTACTCATTTCCTTTCTGACTAGGAACAAGATCACCATGATTGCTGAGCCTCTTGAGAAGGGCCTTGCTGAGGACATTGAGAACGAGGTGGTCCAGATCACATGGAACAGGTGAGAACACAGCTCTGATTCCAGGACTGAATGGAGATGGGCACCACAGCTTCCCTGCCAGGTCTCTAATACCACACATCCTTCTAGAAAGTAATTTGGTGTCCCCCCTTTGCTGTTGCACTGGGCCTAGCATGGGTAGGCTGAGGTGACTGTTTTCCAGAAAGGCAGAGTCTGTGGCCCCAGGAGCCAGCAATCACAGAGCTGTCTGACACCCCCATTTTCTCCTCCTTCCCCCAGGAAGAAGCTGGGAGAGTTCTTCCAGACCAAGTACGATTGGGATCTGCTGGCTGCCCGTTCCATCTGGGCTTTTGGCCCTGATGCTACTGGCCCCAACATCCTGGTGGATGATACCCTGCCCTCTGAGGTACAGCAGAACTGATAGGAGCCTTGTGGCAGTTTCGTAGCTCTTGAGTGGAAGAAACTACAAAGTGTTCTTTTCCCAAAAGTATTTTCTGTCTTCTGGTGAAGGAGAGTCCTCTTACTGGTGCACCTACCTTTTTGTCCGTTTAAACTCTTTGGCTGTTGCCCCAGTCACTGCTAAGGGGCCTTCATGTTTCATGCAGGTGGACAAGGCTCTTCTTGGCTCAGTGAAGGACAGCATCGTTCAAGGTTTCCAGTGGGGAACCAGGGAGGGGCCCCTCTGTGATGAGTGTAAGTGCAGCAGCGCCTCGGTCCCCTCCACCCCAGTCCTCTAGCGTCCTTGCACCCACGTGTGTGAGAGGGGGTGGGCTCATCTTTGGGACCTGGCAGGAGAAGCAGCTGGGGACACACAGAGCCTTCCCATGTCCTGGGCCAGTTTCCTCTCTTCTCCCTCCCCCTGATCCTGGTGCTACCACTTAGTGTATCCTGGAAATGAAGTCATTTCTAGACTGATATTTGCTCCTTGTTCTTGACAAGGAATGTGTGTGAGGAGAGGTATCAAGAGGAGCGTGGGATTGGAGTGGTTCACAGACCAGGATTGGACCTAGTGGGAACAAATGTGCAATTCCCAGAACTTATTCTACATCCATAAATAATTAAATATCGGAAAGAAGCACATAGACTTCTAAGGAATCTTTGTGATGTCTGAGCATGGCCTGAAACAAACAACATATGCTTACCTTCTGACCTCTGCTACACGCCTTGTACAGTCTATTAGAACACCCATCTGCAGGGAGATCTTGTACCATCTCTTTTGTGACCACAAGACAGCCGCAGTGCTGCAAGAGGCTCCTTGCTGCTCTGCCTGTGGGCCCTTGACTGGCACCAGAACCACTCCTCAGTCAGCTGCCCCATCTCCTTTTCAGTGATTCGAAATGTCAAGTTTAAGATCCTGGATGCAGTGGTTGCTCAGGAGCCCCTGCACCGGGGCGGAGGCCAGATCATCCCCACAGCCAGGAGAGTTGTCTATTCTGCCTTCCTCATGGTAAGCGAGCAGGGCAAGCCTGCTCCAGAGCATGAAGTGGGGCCTCGAGACTACAGACCCCCAGCCTTCCTTTGATCCAGGTTCTCGGTCTCAGCCTTTGCCAAGCTGAGGAAGCCTCCTTGCTCTGTTGTAGGCCACTCCTCGTCTGATGGAGCCTTACTACTTCGTGGAGGTCCAGGCTCCTGCAGATTGTGTCTCTGCTGTTTATACTGTCCTGGCCAGGCGCAGGTGAGCAGCCCCAGGCATGTTAGGGTGTGTGCAGAGGACAAGAGCAGAGGAAGAAGTAACTGGCTACTGCAGGGAAGAGGAGATTGGTCTTCCCCACACACTCCACTTCTGAAACATAGGGAGCTGATTTCTCAGAATGAAGTAGGAAAGGAATGAGCCAATCCCCAGCTTTCCCCAAATGAAAATTTGAGATTCCTTCTTGGTCCCCCCTCCTCGGAGAGCTCCTAGGGAAAGTACTGAAGCGTGTCAATGGTGGGAATGTCTATAGGACCTTGTCCCATCAGTGTTCCCACTCTTGCCCAGAGGTCACTGCCCCTTTGACTTCATAGGGAACTACACTGAGAGCGCCAAGCCTTTTCTGCCCTCGCTAGCGCATTTGTGCTTATTCTTTGTTTGATGATAACTCTGGGTTGGGGTATGTTTGGGGGCAGATTGCTTCTCTGCTTTTAGCCTGTGTAGGGTTAGGGACTCAGCCTGTTTTTCTCTCTCAGGGGGCATGTGACTCAGGATGCACCCATCCCAGGCTCCCCTCTCTACACCATCAAAGCTTTCATCCCAGCCATCGACTCTTTTGGCTTTGAGACTGATCTGCGGACTCATACCCAGGGGCAGGCCTTTTCCTTGTCTGTCTTCCACCATTGGCAGGTGAGAAAAAGGGGCAGGCTGGCCAGCTTGGCCTCCCTCCTGTACAAAACCAATCCCCTCTGACCTGTTCCCCTTCCAAGTCCCAAGTGAGATTTCCAATATCCTAGAGAAGAGTCCTGCTTCCAGGCCTGAATGCTCTGGGGAGCCTGCTTGCACCATCTGAAACCCCTTTCTTTGCCTTTCAGATTGTTCCTGGTGATCCTCTGGACAAGAGCATTGTCATCCGCCCCTTGGAGCCACAGCCAGCTCCTCACCTGGCCCGGGAATTCATGATCAAAACCCGTCGTAGGAAGGTCTGTGTCCTTCAGGCCCATTGCCGCCTCTCAGCCCTCTCCTGTTGAGACCCCTCTTCATTTCTTCCTTTTGAACCCTTCTCCCAAAGACTGAGAGCAGTTTACTGTACAGTGTAGAGAGATGCGATCTGTTCGGGTCTCAGGCAACCATACCTGGCACCCAGTCTGGCTGGAAAAGAGAGCCTTCCCCTCTCCTGTGACGATACCCTAAGGCAGGGCTCCTGAAATAGCTTGGCTGACATTCTGCCCCCCACCAGCCTCCCACTCAAGCACAGTCAGCCACCACATAGGGTTCATTCTTGCATTTGCCCCCACTCTCTGCAGGGCCTGAGTGAAGACGTGAGCATCAGCAAGTTCTTCGATGATCCTATGTTGCTGGAGCTCGCCAAGCAGGATGTTGTGCTCAATTACCCCATGTGAGTGCCGGGACTCCTGGCAGCTCCTGCTCCCTACAGTGGGCTGCGTACTGGACTTGAAGCTGAGACCTGATGTAACTTGGACTCCACGTTGTCAGAGAGCGTCTGGTTGCTGCTGTGGCTATCTTTAACAACCCAAGAGCCTCCAACCAGTGAAGGAGGAGAATTTGGCCTCCTAGCTCCTTCTGTGGCCTCTGCCTGGCTCCATTCCCAGGGAACATAGAGGAGCTTGGGCTCAGGGAGGGAGAAGGGGATGAAAGTGTTTAACCCCAAGGGGCCATGTCTTCAGAATTTACGTGGAATTTTTTTTTTTTTTTTTAACAAATTTGACCTTAAACGTGGTTTATAAGCAAAAAGAACATTCTGACCTCTGCCTTTCTCTGTTCCTTTCATCCCCACCCCTCCACCCGCTTTCCTCCAGCAGTCTAGTCCTGGTACTTGCGTTCTGGATATATGTCGTCTCCCATGAGGCTTCACTGTCTCTGCTCCCAGCTGCAGCCTTCTTCCTGCCTCAGTCCCCAGGGAGGCAGCCTGTGGTGGAAGGAATGCCTGCCTCTTCATTCAGTGTTCCCATGAGCACTGAGGCCTCTTTACTGCTCCCACCCTCCCACTCCCTCTCCCGGCATCTGTCCTCTGTACCAAGCTTCTGGGTGTGAGTTGTTGGGTTTCTGGGACCAGAGGTCTACTATACCTCCTGTGTCCCCTAAGAGTCTCTCTTGTCGTCATCGTCCCCCCCCCCCCCCCCCCGCTCAGAGTTGGGGGCCAGAACTCTTTGGTCTCTAGCCCTTTGCTATAAGTCCTTTCACCAGCCACTACCAATCCTTTACTCTGCCCTCCCTCATGTGGAGAAGAAACCGTTGATTTTCCTCAAAACTACTTTATTAGGAGCATACCAGGGATTGATTTAAGAGGGTCTGACTGCCCCAGGCCCTATAGGACTCCTACTTCTCCCCGGCATCCTGTGCTGTTCTCTTGATGTAGTCTCTGTACATTGTGTACACAGCACCTGTGTGAGAGAGAAGGAAAAATGCCCCATGACACTGTATCTTCCACCCATCCTCTGGCTCTCCCAGGTGTCCCAGAGGAGAGTGACAACTGCAGAGTCCCAGGGGTCCAACTCAAGCCGTTCCCCTGAGAGTCCAGCTGCCCTGCTCATCTTTCTGCCCTAGGTCTCAGCAGCTGCTACAAGCACCTGACCACACAGCCTGGGGAACACCCCGTCTGACAGTTCACAAAGCACTTTCATGTATATCATCTATCTGAGAAACCTCACAGCAACCTGTGAGGTAGACAAGCCAGGTGTGGTTATCATCATGTTAGATGTAGGGAAACTGACGCTCAGAGAAAGGGATTTGTCCACTGTCACACAGCTAGTAAGTAGCTGTTTGCCTTTTGATCCAGAGAGAAAGAGAAATTCAGCCTATGTTCTGCTGTGTGATTTTTCACACCTCTAGGACAGACTGTTCATGAAACAAACTGTGTACCATCCCCACAGGTCTGGGGCAAGAAACTAAACAGGGAACCCTAAAAATCTCTTGGTATGAGAGTTTCACCAAGGACTTGATGAGGAGTCCAGCTTAGGGGACAGGGACTGAAATTATGGACCCTTAACTCTTGGGACTCACAGCCTGATTTTGCATAGTCAGTTTTGCCCTCATTGTCCTGTGACCGCAGCAGATACTCACCCAGCATGATGGCGCCCACAGCACAGGCCTGTGCTGCCACTCGGGTGTGAATCAGGTGTATGGACATCTTGGTGGAACCACGAGCTTTTAGCCGGTAAATCCTGTATGCTGCCACCACCAGGCAGCCTCCTAAGCCTGTAGGCAGAGAACATGACCCTTGGGCTTCAGTCACCAAGCACATCACTCTCCTGATAAGAGACACCTCACTAGGCAGGCTGGGCATCTAGATAAACAGCTGCTTTCCTGCTATGCCATGGGGATGGTGAAAGGGGGGGACTGTCATTAGAATATTGAGTTGTTTCCTCTCAGTGGCGTTTTCAAAGTGGCTTCCTCCCTCCAATGACTTCCCTCCTTCATATACAAATAGTCCATCATCTGACTCCCCCAAGCCCATTAGCTCTGCCTAGGGTGCTTCTCTGACCACTGCTGGCTCCCACAGCTGTTTTCCTGCTCTTCCAGGGCCTTGAGAAAGGAAGACCTGAGAGACCCCAAACTACTTCCCATCCTGATGCTGGCGGTGGTGCCCAAGTTGCCCTGTATCCCGTGTACTGGGTTGGACACCACCTCCACCCATCCAGACTCTCATCGTCAGGGGTTATCCCTTTGTCCCTTGGCATCTTTGCCATTGGTTCACTACTCTTCTAGCTGTTGATTGTTCAGAGGCTAGGACCACTTGAGTTCTCTGCTTCCTTTTTTCAAAGGAATAGGAGCCATGTTCTTTCTGAGACAAGGCCCCCTTCCTCACCCCTCATTCCGTTCCCACTCACCTATAGGCACCAGCGGAGACTCTCTGGTCTTCCTCAGGAACTTTTCAGACACGCTGTCTTCGCCCTCAGGTGGTACCCACCAGCCTTTGTTACCAGACATGATCCTGCCCCCAGATGTTAACAGCTGGGGCTCCTAGGCTTCAGCCCAGTCCTGGAAGGAGGCACCCCACAATAAGAACTCTGATTCTCCTCAGTCAGGAGTGGAAAGAAGAATCTTGCCTGCTAAGACCCTCTCTTACCATGCCCAACACAGCCGCTACTTGAAAAGATGTCCCAGGTGTCCTATCAGAAGGCTGGACCACTAGCGCCATTTCTCCATCTCTTCTTCCTAACATCTGCCTCTTGCCTAGCTCATTCTGACTTCGCTGTTTTCTCTACTTCCCCCTCTTCCATCTGCATCCCTATGAGTGTGATCCTTGAGCCAAGGAAAACAGCTGGAAAAACCAACAGATGAGGGTGGGAGGAACAGGTCTTGAGCCTTAGCACTCCCACTGGCCTTGCGTCTGTGACAGTTGCTCCTAAGGGAGCTACAGAGCAAAATCTGGCCCCAGGGAGCCGGAGCCATCCCAGACAGTGTTAAAGCACTGGTTACCGAATCACCAGAGCCAGAGATTAAAGTGATTGGACATTGGTTTGTGTATAATTTAGCGTAGATTTTGGACATTAATACTAACAGGACAAATTCTGGTCCCTGAGCTGCTACCCTGTTTCCAGGTCCATCTCTTGCCAGATTCTTTACAATCTGGCCGTCCCCCTGCTTCCATCCCTGGGCTGGTGATGCTTATCACTCTATTTGCTAACCCCTTAAATGTCTGCTCTGATCGCAAACTAGACCGAGTCCCAGAGTCCTGGTCTTTAGACCAGAAGTTCTGCCTGTGGGCTGCCTTCTAACTCTAAGCATGAGACACTCCCTGCTTGAGGCAACTTCTATTCCTAGATGCCCCTCCTTCTCTCCTTGAGGAGCGAGGACTGTTGGCCCCACAGGTCCTCAGCATGCTGGTGCTTACCCTAGGAGATGGCTAGAAAAGTGGAGTGCGAGCAGCCGGGCCAGGGCTCAGCATCTGCTGTTTTGAACCAGCCAAGAGCTAAGATGGAGCTGCCACTGTAGGGTCAGGGAAGCAGTGACAGGCTTTATGGAGACTTTGAAGTTAGGAATGGAGAGGGGAGGAGATAGGACAGGGCATTAGTCTTAACCCCCCATCTGCTGAGTTCCAGGCTGGAGCTCTAAGCTCTGGAAAGTAACAAAAGACCAGATGGAGGGGAGCCCTTAACTAGATTCAATCTTTTAATTCCCACAGACGTAAGTGGCTGGATCAGAGATGGACTTCATGTGGAAAGCTGAGGTGGGAATATAGAGGCGAGAGTGGGTAGAGATCCTGGGTTCTTCCCCAAGTTAAACTGTCTCAAATACTCTTATGAACAATGTGGGATATAAATAAAATGCCCTGAATGTGGGAGGCAGGCTCTCTGGTCTAGGTGTTGATCTCCTCAAGAATGTTTCTAGACCAAGGAGATTTGTTCAAGAGTTTGAAACAACTGGGACTTCCCTCACATCTCCAGAGCTCTTTACACTGCCTGTGGAGGTGATGCTCACTCAGGTGACAGAGATAACAGTGACCAGCATTCATGCCTATTCTGTGCCAGGTATTTGCATTCAGACTTTTCAACTATTCTGTATAGCATGAAGTAGTTTTTTCATAGACAAGGGAACTGAACTTCCAAGAGGCTAAATATCTTATCCAAGGGTACATGGCTTGTAAATGGCAGTGTCATGATCCGAACCTAGGTCTGGCTGGCTCCGAAGTTTGTACTTCTAGCCTGCTCCCCAGGGGGCTGGCCAAGCTCAAACCCTCTCCAGATCGATGCTAGAGCTTAGGAGTGCTCATCAATCACGGTGCCCTTGATTAGAGAAGAAAAAGAAAATACCGTCTTGCTGAGCAAGTAGAGAAAGATGTAGATGCACTATGGAGAGTCCCACTCCATCCCAGGCCTTTGTTCCTTCCCTAGATGACTCTCAACCCCTCGTGTCTGTCCTAAAGGGGCTCTTCAGCACTGGAAATTTGTCCAGCAGCTGATGTCTCTCTTTTCTCTGCCCGGCACTCACTGCTCTAGGAGGAGACCCAGGGTCACAGCAACTCCCCAGGGCCTTCACATATCCCCAGCGTCCATGGGAACTCTCCTCCCAGTCATTCACACACACTCTCCTGTGCCGCCTCTGCTGGTCCCAACTGTGGCCTGAACTCTCAAGAGATGGATGGGGGGTGAGAGAAGGGAGGATAGAAATATCTGAATGAGACAGGGCAAGAATCAGGATCAACTCCAAGGCCTTTGGGGAACTGAGGCCAAGCTATGGAAAGCAAAGTTCAGCTTCTTTTTGTTGCGATTATGTTGATGCTCCCACAGCATCTCAGCCCAGAACTGAGAAAATAATAATAGTTGCTGTAATTTACTGAGCACCTATGGGCCAAGAATTGTGCTAATTGCTTTAAATATTTAAATAAATAAATTTTATTTTATTTATTAAATTTTATTTAATCCTCAGACCTCTATGAGGTAGGTGCTATTATTATTCCCGTTTCACAGATGAAAACTGAGGCTTCAGTTAAATGTCTTACTTAAGGTCATAGTAAGTGACAGAAAGAAAAAAGTACCAGACTTCTAGCCATTTCTAAAATCATCTCTCACTACTCTGGACTAATGGGAGAATGACTGTGAAGTGGAAAAGTCTTAAAATAGAAGAAATAAATTTTTTTTATTTCAAAAATTTCTGAGAACACACAGTAACTAAAACTTCAAGGAAAAGATTTCTGTAGAGTCCTGCTTTAGTAAACAGATAAGATAAAGTATGATAACATCATTTTTGTTAATATGCCAAGTTTTTAATAGTTTTTTTGATTTAAGCATTTCTACATTAGTAATTTGCTTAGTAAACCTCTTTTTCTTCCAGATCAAGTCACACTAAAAGAAATTCTAATTTAGAGAGGTCTAATTGAGTGATGCAGACAGACTTAATGGATCCAGAGTGTAGGTGAGCGTCAGACATGGAGTCAGTTAGCTGCACCACTGACCACTCTCTAAATACTTGGTCTTATGCCACCCAGCCTCTTTCGAATCTATATTGTCATCTGTAAAACGGAGGTAGCATCTACCCAGAGGATCGTTGTAAGGGTTAAAGACAATGCTTGTTAGAATTCCCCTGCACACTGCCTGCCTCTCCCTCCAGAAGGAGCCAGTGGCCGGCGAGGGGGAGCAGGCTGGGGAAGAACTGGAAAGTCCCTGACAACAGATGGGAAAGTTACCATGTTGTGGGTGGTCCTGAATTCAGCACACCCTTCCTTGTCCCTCTCCAACTCTCTCCTCCTTGTTGGGCTTCCTGGCCCTAACTGGAAACTTCAGGCTGTTCTCTCTATGGTGTTGGAGGAGGAGAACGGGTCGGGGAAGGAGGGGGCTAGGACTTGAAGCTCTACACAGTCTAAGGCACAGCTGTGCTATATATAGCCCAAGGGAGCTCAGTGACCAGACAGGGGAAGGGAGGGATGTGCAGCTTTTGCCTTGAGCTGAGAAGCACTGCGAGTGAGGGGATGATGAAGAATAAACTGGACAAGGAACAGAGGATGCTGAGAGTTGGGGCTGGAATGGGAAGGACCCAGGCTGAAGGGCTGAGGGGAATCACGGGGGAGAAAATGTTAGGCTATCTAATAGTATCTCAGGGACTTGAGGGGTAAAGAGTCGGGTAACAGGAACAGGCAGGGGCAGTGGAAGTTTCCAGATGACATGGCTAGGCTAAGACAGCCTCTAGACAGTGCCTGGGGTGGGGAGGGTGGGAGGTCCCCTCTCCTTCTAAAAACAGGCACTGGGTTCCAAGGACTTTGCAGCATTTGTCCAAGGACAGCCCTGAGAGCCACAGGCCTGGCTTTGGTACCCACTAATCTTTCTGGGGGGACTGCTCACATATTTTAAAAGATTCTAAGAGGGTGTGGATAACAGCGATTAGAAGGCTGAATCAGACTGTGGTGGTGCTGACATAGAATCATGTCTTGTGAGGGAACAGTTTTGAATTTGGGAAGACACCAGTACGGACCCCTGTCTCAGATGACCAATGCATGCTCCAGAGATTTGAAATGTTTTGCTAAGGTTCTAGTTAAGGTGCTTTTGCATACCCAAAAGGCTTCCTTTTAGGCTTCCTCTAAAGCACACTACGGGAGGGGAATAATGTCTTGAGACCCTACAAGGTTTAGACACTTTACATACTTTATTTAATCTTCACAACAGCCTCAACAGGTAGATCTCATTATCCCCATTTTACAGATGAGGAAACCAATGGCTCAGAGAGGTTAAGAACAGCCTGATCACACAGCAAGTAAATGGCTGAGCTATCCAACCAATAATGATAACCACTATAGACCACTTTACAGTGGAAAATTAATGTATAGCAATGTGATTTCATATACAGCACATTCTCACACCATCTTAGAAGTATGAGTAAACAAGAGTGCAAACACCTGGGCAGAGTGGACTTCTGAACCCAGGGCTTCCAGAAATTTAGGACTATGCACCTACCCTACTGCTGCTCAGCAAGGCAGGGTAGGTCCTGAGCCAGCGTACTGCATTCTGGGCATGGCCAAACGTCTTTGCCAGGTGAGTGGTACCAGAGCAGGACATTTCAACTCCGATACCCTTCTTCCCACTCCCAACTTCTGCACAAACTTCACCTACCCCTTATTTGCAAATAGATTAACCTTACTAGCAAGGCTCTGGGAAACACTGGTGGGGGCTCATCTTACCGTTCTGTCTATACTACTTGAATTACCTATTCAAAAAAAATTTTGACAACAGAAAAGTCTGCTTCATCCAACAACACTGTGGCAGGGAGAAGCAGTATAATGTATTCCACAGGTTAACTGAAACTGCTGGGGATTATGCGGAGAGGGGTTGTGTTACTAATACCCTCTTCCCATTAACACATGAAATCAAGAGCTTCTTTAACAATTCTCCTTTATGATGCCACCAGTCTTGGGTAGGCAGTGCTTCTTGTTGTCAACAGGGAGATTGCCCAAATCCTACCTCTCGGGCCTCTGTTCTCACCCCCTGGAACAGACAAATCTGCTCTGAGTTTACCAGCCAAGTGGGGACCCTGGAATGTAATGGAAATAGTGACACACTGCAGTCTTCAAGTTGACCCTACAGTTCCCAAACCACAGAGCCCCAGGGTGACTCTCAAGTTCAAAAACCGGGTTTTGATCCTTTCCTGCTTGGGCCCCATGTGAATAAAAAGTGATGTGGTTCTCACAGCGCCCAGCCCCACCACTCCCTGCCAGAAGCTGGAAACCAGACCTATTTCCCTATTTGAAACTTGAGGCTTTTTTCCTTCCCTCTGGTTGCCTGTCTTTTTGTGCTAGCAATGACAAGAGCCTTCATTCACACATTCACTCTGCACTCTGCATATACTTGCTAAGCACCTGCTATGTGCTGGGCTCTGCTCTAGGAGCTGGGACACAGTGGTCCCACCTTCAGGAAACTCTCATTCTAGTGGTTGCCCTGGTTTGCTCCGGACCCTGGTGAATGCCTGGACCAGAGATCCTCTGGCTTAGGTTTCTGGCCTCAGTTTCCCCATCTGTAACTGGATTAAAGGATGTGACTAGCTGGCAAGGTGATAGAGGAAAGAAAGAAGAGTCCTGACTAGGAGACAAGAGCCTTCAGTTATGTTCTGATTTTTTAACTTTCTGCAAGTAAAACAACCTAGCTTCCTGAGGTCTCATTATTTCCATGTTTAAAAGGTTGCTCTACCAGAAGAAAGATGGGGCTGC